GTTAGAGATTCATGAGTCTAACAGCCTCAGGGTAGAAGCTGTTCCTCAGTCTAGTGGTTCTACACTTAATGCTCCTCAACCTCCTTCCTGAGGGGAGTGGGGCAAAAAGTGTGTGTGCTGGGTGGGTGGGGTCCTTCATGATGCAGGTGGTCCTCTTCCTGCATCTGGAGGTGTAGATGTCTGTGATGGTGAGGAGACTGATTCCAACATCTTCTGTGCAGCCTTCACCACTCTCTGCAAAGCTTTTCTTTCTGCAGCTGTGCAGCCTCCATGCCACACATTGATGCTGGAGCACAGGATGCTCTCCACTGCACACCTGTAGAAGGAGGTGAGGACTGAGCTTCCAGACCAGCTCATCTCAGCCGTCTGAGGAAGTAGAGTCTCTGATGAGCTTTCTTGATCAGGCTGGTGGTGTTGTTGCTCCAGCTGAGGTTGTCATTCAGGTGTACACCCAAGTACTTGTAGCTGGAGACCACTTCCACTGCAGATCCTCTTATGTTCAGGGGGGTGTAGGCGTTTTTGTTCCTTCTGAAGTCCACAATCATCTCCTTCATCTTCTTCACATTGATGTGAAGGTTATTCTCTCTGCACCAGCTCTCCAGGTGTTCCACCTCCTGCCTGTAGCTGGACTCATCATTGTTTGTGATGCATCCCACCACCGCTGTATCATCTGCAAACTTTACAAGATGGAGGCCTGGCTGATCCCAGCATGCAGTGCGTTGCAATAGTCCAATCGGGTCGTGACAAAGGCGTGGACCAGTTTCTCAAGGTCGGGTCTGGACAACACTGGCTTGAGCTTAGCTACCTGTCTGAGTTGGAAGAAGCTTTTCTGCAGAACAGAGTTGATTTGTTTGTCAAACTTGAAGTCAGAGTCTAAAACCATCCCGAGATTTTTACCAGACTGCTTCAGATATAGCTGAAGAGAGTCCAGGTGGACAGGATCAGTGGAGGCAGTTGAGCTAGGGCTAAAAACAATGACTTCAGTCTTCCCATTGTTAAAACTTAAGAAATTTGAAGCCATCCAGGCCTTAATGTCGTCCAGACATTTTAACAGAGGGTGAATGGAGCAAACACTTGCTGGTTTCACAGGCAGGTAGATCTGGCAGTCATCAGCATGACGATGGAATGAAAGACCATGTTTCCTCAGGATGGACCCCAGTGGGAGCAAATAAAGTGAGAACAGAAGGGGTCCAAGAATTGAACCCTGTGGGACCCCGCAAGAAAGAGGTAATGAGGCGGATACATTATTACCCACCTTGATACAGAAGCTCCTGCCACTCAGGTATGAGCGGAACCATTCTAATGTTTATATTATATGTAAATGACTTAATTGAAGTATCTGATATCTTCAAATGTGTTTTGTTTGCTGATGACACTACTTTTTTCTGTCTGGGTAAAGATATGGAACAATTAATTGAGTTGATAAACAAGGAATTTGTAAAAATACAGGATTGGTTTAAATCAAATAAGTTATCATTGAATATTGATAAAACTAATTTTATGGTATTTAGTAAAAAAAAGATAACTTTGGATTTTTGTTTCAAAATTGATGGCATTAAAATATGTAGAGTAAATGAAGTAAAGTTTCTGGGCGTAATCATTGATGATAAACTATCATGGAAACAACATATAAATTTTGTAAAAACTAAAATATCAAAGTCCAGTGCAGTATTATATAGAGTAAGGGACTTGTTAAATAATGAAGCTATACATTTACTTTATAATACAATTGTAGTCCCACATTTTACTTATTGTGCCAATGTTTGGGGTACAGCATGTAAATCCACAACAAGGCCTATATTTATTCTGCAAAAAAGAGCAGTAAGAATTATAACAAGAAAGAATTATTGTCATCCTTCTAATGTTCTGTTTAGTCAATTGAAATTACTTAAGTTTTATGATTTGGTGGATTATAATATTCTTTTACTTATGTTTAAGGCCCATAATTGTTTGCTGCCATCAAACATTCAAACATGTTTTGTAAAAAGGACGAGTGGTTATAATCTAAAGGGATCAGAGATCTTTGTAAAACCTAAGTACAGAACCAGTTTGAAGGGACGCTCTACGACCATACATGGAATAGGTTTATGGAATAATTTGGAGGATGATGCAAAAATGGAGAAGTCAATGTTTACATTTAAGAAAAAGATAAAAACTATTTTGTTGGAAAAATATAAACAACTGTTTGTCTAATTATTTTAAATGTAAAATCTGTTTGAGTTATCTACGTTGTTGCAATATTGTGATTGACTTTTTGTTTGAATTGATAGTTAAATTGATCTGTTAAAGAAGGAGCAGATTTGATAAGAATTTTTTTCTTCTTCTGCTTCCTTTCATTTTATGTTTATTTTTTTTAATTATCTAAATTGTATTTGTGTGTTTTTTTTTAATGGAACTGAAATGAATGAAATAAATAAATAAACAAATAAATAAATAAATAAATAATGCAGCACCTGTGATCCCAACCCACTGTTCCAGCCGTGATATAAGGATACTGTGGTCAACAGTATCAAAAGCAGCAGTAAGGTCCAGGAGCACAAGTACCACAAATTGACCAGAATCATTTGAGATCATAATGTCGTTACAAACCCTCACTAATGCTGTTTCAGTGCTGTGGAGTCGCTTAAAAGTAGATTGAAAAATCTCGAAAATTCTGTTCTCATTCAAAAACTTGTTTAATTGAATGAGAACTATTTTCTCCAGGATTTTGGACAGGAAGGGAAGTTTTGAGATCGGTCTGAAATTTGAGCAAGTCGAAGGGTCAAGACTGACCAATAACTTTGTTCAGAAATGGGAGTGAAATGGGTTCAAACTGTTTGAAGACAGCTGAGCAAGGGACAAAGACAGAGGGGTCAGTTGTGGACTGGGGGATGGATGACCTAATCAACTCTACCTTATCAGCAAAGTATCTGGTGAAGTTGTTGCAGATGTCAACGGAGGCCTCCATGCTGGCAGACCGAGGCACGTTTAAAATGGAATTTACGGTATGAAAAAGAACACGGGGATTTTGACTGTTTGAAGCAATGATTTGGGAGAAGTATTTGTTCTTTTCAGATTTAATGATGCTCTGATAGTCTTTCAAACAGGTCAACAAGCAGTAGCTGCTTGTTGACCTGTTTCTCCAATATTCGGGAGAGGCAGGGAAAGATGGAGACGGATCTGTGGCACTTCACGTCTGTGTTAGTGGTGCGGCAGCAGCAGACTTACAGTTTTAGCTGCCTTCTCTCTAATCCTTTGGAATCTCTGCTCTTTCGTTTGTTCTCCTCAGCATGGGTCAGGAGATCCAGAGAGCAAGCGTCATCAGCAACCTGCCGAGTCTGGTTCGTCAGAACCCAGCTGAGACTTTTCGTCGAGTAGTACCCAAAGTTCGAGTATGTACCAACTGCTTCAGCTTAAGAAATAAGCAGTTCTCAGAACAGATATTTCTCTGAGTTAGCATGTCCCACCTGTGTGACCCAGGAGGTCTTAAATGGAGCCATCACTGAGATACAGCTTGCAGCAGCAACTTCGTTTTTAACCATCCTGCAGGACGACATCATTCTGATCCACACACACACCTACTCTATCTTAAAGACTGTCCTGATCCACCTGAACCACAGAGACCCAGGTAAGCACACTTGAACTCTGATCCACTCCTGAGGTTCTACATCCATTGTCATCACTTATTGGAAATACACATGCACTTGACTCACTCTAGTTCTTTTCTTGTGCAAAGTGCTGATACACCTCGGTAACTAGTGGACTCATCTGTTGGTTATGATCTCACTGTAATCACTAGGACAAGTCTTGGTGTATGTTGCTGATGTTATCTTGTTCACAGTGGTGAGCAGTGCCTGGTTGGAGACTCTGCTGTCAGCCATCAATGCTCTGCCCAAAGAGACCATCAAACAGGAGGTCAGTCGCTGATGTGATTTCACCGGTTATAATTCTGCCTGTGAATTAGTGTTTGTTGCCAAATACACTCAACATTTAAAGTAGAGGATTTAAGGGGCTGCGGTAGCTTAATGGTCAGTACCACAGTCTTGTCATTCTGAGGCTGCATGTTCGAGCTCAGGTTCCTTCAGGAAGAACATCCAGTGTAAATCAATTACCAAGTCTTTCTTGGAGTTCACTCACTGTAGCAACCCTTGCAGAAGGAGCAGTCAGAATTAAAGTAAGGAATGTTATCACCAGGAATATGCAGTGGCTTCTGAAAGTATCTAGAACTTTACCTAGTGCTGATTTGATGCACCTTTAGCAGCAACTACAACCTCAAGTCTTTTGGGTTTCATGCAACAAGCTTTGCACACCTGGATTGTGAAATTTTTCTGTCATTATTTTTACAAATCAAACTCAGACCAGTTGAATCATTGCAGGAGCCATTGTCAAATCTTTCCAGAAATGTACTTGTGTTGTCTTTGCTATGTGCTTTGGGTCATTGACATGTTAAACTTTCAGTACCATCTGAGGTTCTGAGCAGTGTCGAACAGCTTCTGACAGAGGATATATGTGTATTTTGCTCCATTCAAAGAGGCTTCAAAGTTCATGGACTTTATAATGTTTTATATTTCTGCATCAATCTGACCTAAAACATCATCAGATGTTCACACAGGTCCTAAAAGTAGATAAAGAGAACCCAGTTAAACAACCGAGACAAAAATATTATACTGGATCATTTATTTATTGAGGGAAATGATTCACTGTTACATATCTGAGAGTGGTAAAAGAATGTGAACCTTTGCTTTCTGTACCTGGTGTGATAACACC